GCTTCAAATGAACTTAGTTCTCAAGAATTTGCTCGATCTGTTCATTTTCATATTTGTCATACTTATTGTTTTTCAAGGCTTCATTTACTGCTTCACATGTCATGGTTGTCATTCTTCAAGATATCGTTAACAATTATATATTGCCACAGCATTCTAAGACACTCTTCAAAATATTCATGTTTCGAGATTTTGTTCGACTATCAGTTTCAGAGCAACTGCACTCAAGCTACCGTTGAAATGATATGGTTAACATGATATTTCGGAAAATGTTGTTTGAAGTATGAATAATTCAAATATCGTATTCTATAAGTTAATGAAAAATGCTGCTGCATCAGTTACATTGTTCCATTGAACTTTGATGATTATTATTATCTTCTACCTTATCTCACACCAAGTGAAAACTGATATTGAAACTGTCATCACATTTCCTTTCATTAGTATGAAATTCAATTTCATTGATCTCATTGATCCACTATATAGCGGTAAACCTAGTTTTCACAAAAGTATTCAGAATATAGTCCAATTTGTTCAATGAAATCCAAGAGAAGATATAGAGAAGATAGCTGAATGGATGATAAAGATGAAGAAGATCGAATAAAGATTTCCTTAGCGGAATTCCACTCGCAGTTGATTTCATTAATTTCACTGTTTTATAACAATAATTGTTCTTATCGTAAGGGTCACGTATTGAATATACCTCGGAATATACACATGATCATATTTTTCAATAACGTTTCATTCAAGTATCATAGTGAAATTAAGAAATACTCATATATATATATAGGATATTGATATAATCATCAATGTTATACATTCAACTTCTTGTGTTTGTTACATAGAATACTCTCACTCTCTCGGTTCAGTGTCATTGTTTCATTGAATTTTGATAATTATTGTTGTTATCGACTACCTCGTCTTCGACCATGTGGAAACTGATATTGACACTGCCATTACAGTTTCTTCCTTTAGCATAATTCAAATGTATCCATCTCATTCATTTACTGACGATAAACCTGATTTTCACAGAAGTATCCAGAATATAGTCCAATTTGTTCAATGAAACCCAAGAGACGATAGAGAAGATAGCTGAATGCATGATAAAGATGATGAAGATCGAATGGAGATTTCCTTAGCGGAATCCCACTTGCAGTTGAAATCATTGATTATTGTACCTGTTTTGTAACAATTGTTATCATAGGAACGGTTACGTATTGAATATATACGCATGATCATATTTTTCAATAACGTTTCATTCATATATCATAGTGAAATTAAGAAATACTGATATATATATATATATATATATACCTATAGGATATTGATATAATCATCAATGTTATACATTCAACTTTTTGTGTCTGTTACATAGTCGGTTCAGTTTCATTGTTTCATTGAAGTTTGATGATTATTTATACCTAATACCTCGTCTTCGACCATGTGGAAAACTGGAAACTGATATTGACACTGCCATTACAGTTTCTTTCCTCAATAAAATTCATCCATTTCATTCATTTACTAACGATGAACCTAATTTTCACAGAAGTAACCAGTATATGAGCCAGTATATAGTCAAATTTGTTTAATGAACACTAGAGGAGATGGCTGAATACATAATGAAGATGATGAAGATTGAGTGAAGATTTTTTTAGTATCAAACTCGCTGTTAATTTCATTAATTATTGTTATTGTTTTGTATCAATTGTTATGATCGAAACGGTTAGGTACCTACTGAATATACGCCATGATCATTATTTTCAATAACCTTTCATCCAAGTATGATATAGTGCAATGAAGAAATACTGATAGAATATTGACATAATCATCAGTTTCATGCGTTGAACTTCTTGTGTTTGTTACTCGATAATAACATGAACTTCTTATTGTTGTGATCACAATTCATTTTATTGTATTATTTCATTCGGCAATAGTAGCATCTGCTAGCACTGCCGAAAGCTGAGTCCGTCGCAGGTACCTATACACAATTTTTTTCACAAAGATAATCTCTGGACTCGAACATCAATTTAATTATGTGAACCATAATGCCTCTATGAATGACGCTAATGTCTTTCGATACTCGCGAGCATACACCGCCCAGGTGGTCACAAGTTAGCCGCAGAAGTGAATGTTATCGGTCATCGGAAACGGACTCTGTATTACATTACATCTCGGTTTTGATATAGCGCGCGAGCTAATACGTGCGAGATAGCTGGGTACTCGCACGAAGAGAAGTTGCTTCTGCAGCGAGGAAGGTGTACCATTTCCTAGTTCCTTCCTCAAAAGACATTTATTTTGCTTCAAAGGAAGGAAGGAACGCTCGAAGTCATCTCTACAAATTTTAATGGTGTTGTTACTTCAAGCATTCCTTCTTTCCTTTGAAAAATTTCACCCCACTTTGAGCAATATGGACTTCTACCAAAGGTTCATTTTGTTTGTTTCCTGTGTGGAAAGCAGATCACATTTAGGACTTCTACGGAACCGCTGCCAAATCGACAAAATATTATAGGCATTGGCATGATAAATTCATACCCAGGCTCACGCTACAAAAAATATGGAACCACTGCCGTAACGAATATAGACTAGAATCCAGACTACCCAAATTCGGTTTGATGAAAGCTTTGCTCATATCGGTCAATAAACTTGCAATCAACGTTCTTCTTCTTCTTCTTCGAAGCACTGGTGGAAGGGTGAACCCCCTGCACGTGGGCCTCCTTATTCGGGCCCATTGTGCGCCCACATGTTACGACATTCAGCTGGGTATGCCGACTGCCTTGGAGAAGTTCAGCAGCTTCCTCAGCTGAATCTCTTTTACGTCCTCTGGCCTCAAAATTATGTTGCCAAGGACAGCCCTTCTCTGATGCGTCAGTGCTGGACACTCAGTGAGGACATGTGATGACGTTTCGTCATCTTCCAGGCACCATCTGCAAAGGGGGTCATCCTTGGCAATCAACGTTCACCTCATATCGTAACTTTCTTTGAGGAAGTTTGTGACTCTTATTATAGAGTTGAACGTCTCAGTGGATAGTACTAGGCCTTCCTGCTGCTTCCTCAAATAATTGCCAAGCTCTACCGACTTGATAATACCTTGCCATCCCTGGTATTATGATGGAATATATATTATTCGATAATTCACCCATAACATAAGGATCACTAACTCAGACCAACAATATTCAATTTCAAAGGGTAAATTCTGACGTAGAAGGAATAATAAAAATTGATCTAGGATAAACGTGGCGATACCGTAGAGAATCCTATAGTGCACCAGCACAACTCCTGCCTCGATTACTCCAGTAGGGAATATCCTCGGGAATATCATTTGTGGTATATATTATGTTATATATGTGTTGTTATTGTTTTCTGGCTCTTGTGTGATTAAATGTCGTTGCCTTAGTAATTCTTCAGGTGCATTATAGACCTCGCAATCAGACTACTTCGTAAAAAATGCAGAACGCCAGTATCATGTCTTAGCGTGTCTTGAAAACAAGTGAGTGTTACAGAAAATCTGAGATGAAGTTTCACATATTTCACAGGTACGTTGAAAGAAGTGGTCTAGTGTCATTCTGGCTTTAGAGCTTGCTCTCATTAATAGAAAGCGTGATTGGGATATTGAAAATATTCGATAGCTTCATCACTGTGATGATTAATTATTTTCATAACAATATACTCCGAGGTATACCCAAATAGTACAAGCAACAATCAACAGTTTCGCAGTGATAGGCTTCTGACTAATATGGACGAGAATCTGGACCAAGCAAATTTCTTCAAAATCTATCATGCATGGATTTATAAAATCTTGGGTAACCTTTGCACGTGGATCTAAGATCTAACATAATTCAAAACTCAACGATTGATTTATACATTTCAGAAATAGTGCTTGTGTTGGTGTTGATGTAATCTGAATATTAATTATCTTCCCAATCGATTTTTGTTTGGATTATATGAATTAGTTGATCTTGATCGTCCTTCAACAAATATAAATAACACACAACTAACAGGTTATGTTTTTCAGATGCCTCATTGATTTGGATTGATTAGAACCAAGAAAAACTGGTCGAATTAATTGTCAAATGGAATGACTGCCATATTTTTATCATCATTCAAGCAATTCTTGACTACATGCATCATCTATGTCCCATTTGTATTCTTAGAAATTAATTTTGAAGTTTCATTCAAATGGTTCAGTTATATTATTTCCCTGAAGTATTCTCTGAGGGAAGATGTTGAAACGAACCTTCAGCTCTTCGTTATGATTTTGATAAATATCTGTCACTATCTTTCATCAGATATAAATCCTCGTATAAATCTATATTCGTCGGTTGATATTGATTACTTTATTTTGAACTCAAGCGACAAGCGACAAGCGAATGAATTTCTCTTTTTGGCTCTCCGATAGGAACATTTCTGAATGCTGTGATTTGTCCTTACTACACGTATATTGAAATAACATTCATATTTTTATTTAGAAACGAGGAGAGAAAATCCCAAAAAATTTGGAATCAATGAATAGATATATTAAAATGTTAATGTCTTCTCATTGTCATTTCTCGTGAGTGTCATCTCAAATTTCCTCAATACAATAGTAAGACAGTAAAGTCTGTCGTATCCGAGTTATCCCTCAACGATTTGCACTTTCTATAAAATTGTATTTTTGGTGGTGTCTCTATAAGCTTTTAAATTCCGTATATGGTCTTATGAAGATTTGCCTGATTTTTGAGGCAATTGTATTTTTATTCGAATAATCATAAATTGCTTCGCAATCGAAGTTCCGATGCACAAAACGTGAAATGGTTACTTCTCAATCTGCTCCAGAAAGAAGAGCATCCAAATAATCATTCGAATTGGAATGAGATACTATCTGAGTTAGTGATCTGATCTGAAGTTATGGTCAGGTCAGTCAGGTGGTATAGAAGGAAAAACCTTCGGCTCCAATAGTTGTTGCTGCTTCACGATACACGACAAGAGATCCCCAAGCCAAGAGATGGTAGGTAAGCCTGAAGACTTACCGGTAGCAGCAGGAAAAACCGGAGGTGCACCAGTACCCTCCTCGTCCTCCAGAAGGCGATTCGGCCTCGCCTGCTTCCTTCTGGACATAATCACAGCACTAGTCACCGTCCACCTCAGAACAATATTCTGAACACTTCAACTAGCCGCACTCATGATATCAGTTATGATCGGTTTGATTGGTGCAGGTATTGCGTACGATCTGTCGAGCGTCGCGATGCTGTCTAACGGGCGCCGATGTGTGCGTGGAGGGGGTTCAGATAAGGGCGGCGCGTCCGACTCACCCTCGGGCGTTTCCGGGTCGGCTCGGCGGCGCTCGCGTACGGGAATTTTCGCGAATAGGGACGAGGAAGTCGTCCTGTCCAGGTGGATCGGGGAAATTGGCGGGAGCGTGTCGAGCGATCGTCCTGCTCGGCGATCGGCATTTGACTAAGTGACTATCTCGGGCGGCACGGTAAGCACCGCCTTCTAAGTTTACCTGAGCGAGGGGTGGGGGGAGGGCGAATTTACTCATTCAGATGATAGGTACGCGCGGCGCTCGAGAGCGATTCATAAATCACCGATTATTTTTCGATGATGGTGATCCGATGGCGGTACGACCGCAAATTTTCCGGGAGGGGTGTGACGCAGGAGAGGTTATTCCTGAAGTTGCTCTGCCGTTTTGGGTTTCATGATATGTTTATTGTTTTACTGAAAGATATTGAACCCTCCATGCATAGCAAGATAGCCAGAGTTGCGACAAAAATAACAGTCGAACGAAGATGATGATTCAGCCTAAGTTGAAACAGCCAGCAATAATAGCTGAAAGAATATAATTATTCTAACGTACGAGGATAATTAAAGAAATTATAGAGGGTACCTATAACACTATGTTTCGAGAATATCGATCACAAATTTTTATATTTCATTCAATTCGGGATGTTAGGCTTTGTTGATGTCATTGTTTTCAATGATATGGATGATGATGTTTGCTACATCTGTGCTTTAAGTGGTAATAAAACACCCCAACAAATAATTGGAGTTGTGACAAAAAAATCATTTGGGTTGCTATACTTACTAGGTAATCATTAGTTCCAGTAATTCAGCATACCTAATACTATAGACATACCAATTGAACAACATTCGAAGTGAAACATGAACTTTTCATGATATCTCTATACTAAGAATCTTGCATCGGATTCATTTCATTATCAATATTTCAAGTAAGTACATCCATTTTTTGATGATGGTTGTCTGACGCGAACGCAAGTTTCGTGAAGTTGCTCGGGCCTGATGCTGTTGAGTTTACTCAATGAGTCTCATGGTTTTCTGCTGCATCTGAGATTCATTGAAACTCTCGTATACTTAGTGAAATATATCCAGAATTGCGATTGAAGAACAATTTATCTAAACGAAGTAAATGAGCACCAGTTATACATGATTATAGGATCTAATCGATCCTATTTAATATAACGAGTAGATATTAGCATCCCTAAATGTTTTCACATTCATTCGTGAACTGAAACAGAACTTCTTCAAGAAGTTTTACGGTGGGAATCTTCATTATACATATAATAAAGTTAGGAAAATATGTATTTCCCAGCCTAGAGGTACAATAATATTCTTGTTCAATGAGCATTATTGTCAAACAAGCTGTCAATAACGATCGATTGAAATTGGGAACTTGAAACATGACTTCTTCAGTAATTTGGTCAATATTCCCTAATTATTCCGGGGAGTGACGAAGAGTTTTCGGAAGTTGCTTTGTCGATTTATTTTTGAATTTACTTATATTGAGTTTACTATATAGGTTCGCAGAATTCAAGATAAGTTGTTATATAATTTCGAACCTATGAGTTGATACCTTATAACTGAATACACTTCAAAATAGGTTTGAAGTTTACTAAGTATATTCATAGAATTTTAATCAGTTTCAAATATATATACATTCATCACTCACAACTCACATAAAAATTCAATAAATATCTATACAGACGCTATTTTTGTCCTCTATTCTTAGTAGAGACAAAATTTTGTCCATCTGAAATTTTGTTTATCTATTGGAGAGCACGAAACGGAAGCTCTATAATGTTCGAAGAACATCGAATACGTACCCAGGAAAGATATAGGAAAAGGGTAGGTATTGGACCTTTCTTCAAACTATTGGTGATTATTACTTTTAGAAAATACTTCCTTTGGAAAACAATTTCGAAGTTTTGCCGTTCTATACTGGCTGTAACATATTTAAGTACGATGAAATATTCAAGTGATGTATTCCTGAAACAATTTAAAAAATAAAATTGAATTCTCTTGTTCACTTTATGACAATTACTTTAGCAAAAAATAAGTTATTCGCACGAAATATATGGTACCCGGATCTTCTTCGACGTGGAAAATCATATTCACGTATTAATTTTGACCAACCAACCTCTCCATGTTAAATGGAAAATAATACGAAAATATGATTTTCTACGCCACAAAAAACTCGGGTATCAAATTTCGTGCGAATAACAAATTTTTTGCAAAAGCTATCTTTTGAAAGCGAACAAAAAAGAAAGAAACAATTCGATTTCAACATCCTGTATCTCCGAAACGAAGCTTTTCCGGGCACAAGTTTGTAGAGACTTTTTTTCTTGAAATTCTCTCAGGAATACGTCCCATGAATATTTAAACGTACTAATGTTACACCCTGTATACATAAAAATATGAATTAGTACAAATCACGTGAGGGGTGTAAGGTCAATAATTATAAACTCACATAGCCACCTGTACACCTGATGTTCATCAGTTCACGTTGCTTGAAATTGGCCAATGAAAAATTATGTAACTATAAATACTTACTGTCTGATGTAGGTAAATCGAGAAGGTGGTATATTATATTCATTATTCCAGATTTTTGGGATTGGCTCTCTTCGTTTTCATGAAATGAAAAGATGAGTTGTATCTCAATATACGTGTAGTGAGGACAAATCAGATGATTTGCCCCAACATACACTTCGTATTGAAGAAGGTTTGGAGAAAAGAAATTGTGATTATACATTATTCTTTTCTATCAGCGATAGGACCCAATCACCCTTAATACACGCCAATGAAATAATGAAATGATCGATTGTTTTTCAATGATGGTATGATTTGCTCTGTGGGTTCAACCACAAATATACGAGAGGTGGTCTACCGAAGACTTTTTGAGATTGTCGGGAGTAAGCTTCCTTTTGACGCTTCGATTTTGATTATTGAGGTCATTGTTTATCGATCTTCGATTCTTTTGTGAGGCAATGATGATGATATATCCAACAGTGATAAAACATGGCCTGTCAACCCTTCACAATTCACATAGCCAGTAAGACAACAAATTCATGTAAATAGGTAAAGCACTTTCCCATGAATAAAAAATTGAAAATGAGAACATATGAAATGAAATACCAATATGATTGGTATTTGTGTAGTAGTGGATACTCACTCGTTTCCATATATTATATTCAGGTTTGATTCTCCACAAAATGGACTAACATACGATGTTTCCCTTTACTGGCTACAAAATCCTAGCGTATTCCTAAGGATTCCTGCTCACGAGCATTTGCAAAGTCAAAAAAGTGTTCACGTTTTTCTTCTGTGTTTTCCCTTTTTACGAACTAGTTTAGGATATAGTTTCGAATCTGATGGGAAAGAACTTTTCATGACTGTCGTGAATTATTTTGTATGCGCATGAGTCTATATGCCACAGATTCTGAGGTTAACAAAGTTTTGAGACGCACTTCTAAACAAAGAATCGATGGAGAAAATAAAACAACGGACTTGTCTATTGAGCTTCAGCTCATCGTATCTCCAAATTCAAACTATTAATAAACATTCTTCGATATAACAATTTTGCTAGAAAACCTCAAAACCCATCTCAAAATTACTTTATGATTTATAGAGGTATATAGAGGACACCATAAACCAGAACACATCAGCTGCATAATTCAGGAATCATTACAGATAGGATATTGGTGTTGATAAGTATATTATAGTGAAGTAAATTCATATTCAGGTTCCACTATTCAGGTTCCGTCCATTTAATTTAACTTTTTAACAGAACCCAAAATATGACCTTGGTATCCTAGAAGCGCGACATCATTTGACAGTTTATTTTCGAAGGAGATAAACTGGAGAAAATTCGATTTTGTTCACCTGCTTTCCGAACTATCACATACCTACTTATCTTGGATTAATTTTAATGCCTTGTTTGACTCATACATGATTCTGCGCAGTCCAAGAACCGTTAGAACGATTTGGAACGCGAACAAACCCTATATCAGACTACATCCTTGAAATTGTATCTATAATTCTAATCTCTGTCAATGTTTTGAAAATCATTCAATCACAGAGAAAGTACTTATTACGTCTCATGTCTTACATAAATAGCCTTGAAACATCAAAATAACCAACAAATTGATGTTTCAGGGTTTTCACCCCTGACGGTACTCCATAAGGCGGAATTCGAAAGTTCTACCTGATAATTCTAGAGCATTTCCTGAAGACAGGATCGATACTTAATAATACATATTGACCATTGAGGGACACATTGACACTCGTTCAAGGCAATGTAAACACGAAAGTGTGACTGCGACAATTCGAAGGACCGTACAGGGCGACCCCCCCACTGTCCTTTGGGACTTAGTTTTGTATCAGGGGTGGTAAAAGGGTTGGAGATACATTGTTCCGTCAGAAAATTTGGAAATTGGTTTCCACTATACTAGTATATTGGCAGTCGATACAAAAGCTTGAATTTCAGATGAATCGATTGGAGCATATTTGAGAGTGAAAATATATGAGAGGAATGAAAAATTCTGAATGATTTTATCATTCATTATCCTTACACCTAGTGCTCCTGCGAAGCGCATCCTCAAGAGAGTTGAGCATGAATCAAAATAGCTCAATACAGCAATTCACAAGAATACTTTCATCAAATGGGATTCAGATCATTAAATCTACCCACAGGAATAAATTACTTCCTTAATTTTGCTCGAATAAATCATATCCATAACCTTCAACAGAGACAAGATATTTGAACAATATTGAAGACACACGTTGTAGTTATTCGTGCCGAATTCGGAATGGATGTATGTCAAATATAATGCTGTACTAAAGTGTCCGATATAGGTGGTATCAGTACGGTTGTGTTTGCAATTATTGTGTTCGTCGTCATTATCAGTAGTAATAACCCAAGGACATTGATAATTGTTCGAAAAAATTTTATAACAGATTTCGAAAGCTTGTTGCTTGGAAACAGACCGACGCCGTAGGCGGAGGTCTATTGCCTATAAGCAACAAGCTTGAGAAAGTTGTTAAAAATTTTTTGAGCATTTATCAATGTTCGAGGGTTATTCGGATAGAAAATTTTTTGCTGACAATGCGGAAAAAAATAGGAACAGAAACAAAAACAATTTATTTGAATGTGCAATTAACAAAAGAACAATTAGAAAAATGTAATGAAGATCCAGCCG